AATGTATCCACGCAAAATTCCATCGCTGGTAGTACTTCCGCCGGTGACGTTGCTGCACCCTCAAGAAATTCCACCGCCACTGGCGCTTCACTCCTCGAGGGAGCAGGGCGGCACTTCCGTTTTGTCAATGTGTGCGAAATGTTGCGTGCAGAGATGCTGCTGGAAGCAGAGGATCTCTCGCCACGCACTACCGAACCTCCCATGATGAGACGGTGCTTTTGAACTCTCGACACAACTACTTAGCTAGCCATGGAGCCACTAAGGTCATTACTCGGAAGCAATTTCGGAAGATGAAGCCTTCTGCGGATGAGTTTTGTTTCATGGTTCAGCTTGCGGATCAACCTGAGCAAAGTGAAAAAGCGTCACTGCAGCTTAACCAGGACTGGGACAAATTGAAAGGTTCTCCAGTTGAGTCTGTGGTGTCCAAATACAAGGACACAGTGTTTCGAATGGAACTACCAAATCGTCCACCTCACCGGACAGTTGACATTGAAGTAGTGGTAGAACTTGTCGATAACGTTCCAGTGACCAGGATACAGTATCACCTCAGTGACGAGATGAAACGAACTATCCGCGAGTGGACACGTGAAATGCCGGACGCTGGAATCATTCGACCGTCGAAGTCTCCGTACTCTTCTCCTATATTCTGCGTCAAAAAGGCAGTTTGTTGGCGGATTGTTCATGATTTCCGGGCAATTAACAGCAAAATTCGCATTCCTGTCACTCCAATACCTCGAAAAGAGACATCGTTGATGCTATGGTGAATGGTTATTGGTTTTCCGCTCTCGACTTGCTATGATGCTTCTTTCAGGTACGACTTCGCCAATCAGATATTCCCTATAATGCGTTCTCGACGCCTGACGGACAGTTTGAATACTTAGTCACGTCGATGGGATTATCATGCAGCCTAGCAGCTTTCAATCGAATGATTCAGCGAGTTTTCTGCGACCAGAAAGCTTTCTGTCAGGCTTATTTCGACGACCTTTTTGTTTTCACGAAATCGAAGGATATTGCAGACCATCTCGAAACTTTGGATGCTGTGCTTCAACGGTGCCAGGAGCAGAAAATCTACATTAAACTTGCGGAGTGCACATTTTGCTCGCACGAGGTACCGTGCCAGGGAGACTACTTGGGTGCGACAGTATCCGCATGGATACCGATAAGGTTCGCATTATACACGACTGGTCGACGCCAAAGACGAAACGCGAGCTCCAATCGTTTCTGGGTACTTGTGTGTATGTGCTTAAGTTTTGCGAGAGCTACGCAGAAACATCGGCACCACTCATCGAGGCCAGAAAGGGTAAAACCGCGCTAGAGCGAATCAACCTTACGCTGGAGCAAGGCAAGTGCTTTGCCAAATTGAAGGCTCATCTGACATCTCCACCAGTGCTGGCCCATCCAGACTCGAGAAGATACTTCTACGTGCAAATGGGTGCTTCTGACTACGCCGTAGGTGGCTATCTATACCAGCTTGACAGTGGAGCCAAGGAGAAGGTGATCGCATACAGTGGAAAAAAACTCAGCAGCGCTGAGTTAATGTACCCGACGCGAGAGAAGGAGTGTTGGAGTTGTTGGCCGCATTACACGCGATGCAAGTCTGGAGAGTGTACCTTATCGACAAACCGTTCTTCGTTAACACTGATCATCGGCCGTTGCAGTCGATTTTAGAACAGAAAACTTGTTTTCAACGCCTTGCTCGCTGGCTAAATGAATTGGATTTGTACCAACCAAGGTTTCGGTGGATTCTGGGCAACACAAACATTGTCGCGGACGCAATTTCCCGCAACGGTGCTTTCCAGCCTGATGCATCAACGCATAACGTCTCCTTAGCCAGTTTACTCGTCAGCTTACTTCTAATGAGGAGGTTACTCACAGCAACGACTTTTATCTACACTACGCACGGAGTCGATCCTCAATTCTGGAACAATGTACTCGGCTTTATAACGAGGACTCACTTTTCGGACCGCTGTTTTCGTATTTACAGACTGCGCAAGCCAACACGGGTGCACCACCACTGGACATACACCGGCGCATTCGGGCAAAATCGACCGCTTCTTTCTAAACGACGGTATTCTCTACTTTCAGCCTCGCAGGGATT